CTGTTTCACTTCAGTTATAAAATATCCGAAAGTCAAAAAGATCCTGCAAAGTGAAACGTCAGGCAGAAGACCTAGAGAAAAGCTCTGCAGTGCATATGATTCATGAAGAAGTCAAATCCTGAGTCTATAGAGTTCCCATAAAAATGGATTTAAAAGAAAAAAGCCCTGCAACCCGGGTACAAAAGCAAGGGGGACCCTTGGAGGAGGGCAGCCTTGGGACAGATGCTGGGGCCTGTCACCTACACTCCTTCCCCATACCGCCCGAACCAGAAACAAGGGCTCTGGGGACAGGTGCACCCATCTCTCCAGAGGCAGCCGGCTGCGAACCCTGCCCCCAATCCCTGCCACCCATCTTGCCCTCAGGGGCTCTTCTCTTCCTCACCCCAGGAAAACGGGTCGAAGGAGTTTCACTCGTCCCCCCAAACCTCAGCAGCAAGAGCCACCGAGTCCAGGAAAGACCGGAAGCTGGGCCTGTCCATGTTGCAACCGCTCCAGCCAGGCCTGGAGACCATCGAGAAACCAAGTGCAGCCTCTCAGCCAGGGTCACGCAGCTGTCACATCGGCCTTCTAAGGGGAGCGGCCAAACACAGCACCAGGCCCTCTGAGCCCCCTTTAGGGGCGCTGCCCCTGCACATCCTCACTAGCAGCGGTTCCCAGCAGATTCCCATGTCTGCCTCCCACATAGAAGGTGAAAGCTGGGCTCTGGCTCCATGTCCCGAGGTGGTGACCCAGCCCCCTGGTCCTGGGCAGGGCAAAGTGCACACAGGGACAGCCTCAGCTTGGCCCGGGGTGATGACCCAGCTCGAACTCATTGCCCCAGCCTGGCAGCCTCCTGTGGTCCCTGAGGGGTGGCTCACCCTCTGCAGCACCCCGGGCCCAGCCCTTCTCACCCTTCCCCCACCGCATAGCCTGCCAGGCCTCCTGCTGCCCCCAGCTTCTAACGCCCCACCCCCCTGCCTGGTTCTTGACAAACTCAGCCCAATCCATCTTCTCCCCCGGAGGCCTGGGAGGCTCCAGAGAAGGTGGCACTGATTAAATGACCATAATGGACAACATCCGTCAGCAGTCAGAGGACAGGCATGGCTGCAAACTGTTCCATCCCATGTCCCTGCTGTCCCTCACCGGACCACACCCAGTGCCACCCCGCTGGAGGTCTCCTGCGACAGCTGGGTGTGCAGGACAACCCACATGGGGCGGGCTACTGGGCCCCTCACCTTCCTCATCAAGACCTCCGAAGTCCCCTGCTCCAGGCCAGCGCTGCTCCGGCCCTGTTCCAAGGCCCTGACCACCCAGTGGAGAGGGAAGGAGCCAGCTTTGACCAGTCCCTTAACAATGGCCATGGCCACTGTCCTCGTATTAGAGAGGGGAACTGAAGCTCCCCTCAGCTGAGACACCAGCTCGGCCTCACAGTGATCCCCCAAGGCGGTGCTTCTGGGGTGGGGAAAAGCCTGTCCTCCAGAGGTAGAGCCTCCAGACAGCAGTACCCCACAGCCTGCTGACCCCTCCCGGAACCAGACCCAGCCCAGCAGGAGAGCCCTGGAGGAGAGGGGAGCGGCCACCTCTCCAAGTAGCCGGGGATACTTCGAGGGGCCCTGTGCTACACAGGGTGGGCGGCCACTCCTCCAGACTTGGGGAAGATGAAATGGGAGCCATGGCTGGGGTGGGACCAGACAGGGGACAGTGTCCACTCTGCATGTCCCTGCCTGAAATGGAGAGAGGTCAGGGCCCAGCAGCCACCAAGGGAAGAGGGGTCACCAGAGATCTTAGAGTTACCCAGGTGGCAAGCACCCCCAAAAGACAACATGTCTGAGGAGACCCTAGAGTGCCAGGTCTCCCCAAGGATCTGAGGGTGTTCTGCCAGGTGGATGGGGAAAGACACGCAGATGGGAGGAGCAGCCCGCTGGAGATGGGTTCCATCCATTTTTGGGAAAACCTGTCCTGAGTGGGCTGAGACCACAGGAGGCCAGCAGACTGGGCTGAGTGGCCCAGGACCCGGCTGCCCTCACGGCCACCTGACTCCTTGTGCAAGATGCTGTCCTGCAGGGCCACCTGTCCCCGTGAGCAGGTGCGAGTCCCATCACAAGGCCCCACCTCTGCCCTCCTCTAACCTGATCACCTACTTCCTCCACACCCAGTGATCCTGGCCAGGGCCAGCACAGGCCTGGGAACACCGGGCTTCTGGTCCAGGACGCCAAGCCAGTGCCTATCCCCTGTGCCCCTTGTGGTGCCTACCTGGCCCCAGGGAGGTTGCAGGCTGGCCGGGTGAGCATGCATGCCACCTGGTGAGGGCCCAGGGGTGCCCGTGGCAGGAGGAGCCCAACACAGGGGTCCAGAGTGTCAGGGCACAAGAGGGCAGAGGGGACGCTCCTCATGGCAGCAGATTCTACCCTAGCACGAGGCCCCGGGAACCATAGGACATCTGCGCCTCTGCCTGTCTGTCCTCACCACCTCCCACACCCCAGGGGGAGCCAGCAGGGGGACCCACTTCCCTACCGGGCTCTTTTGTGGTTTCCCAGGAGACCCCGCCAGAGACCCCCAGCTGCCCCTTCCATATGACCACCCTCTCCACCAGGGAACACCTCCTGGGCAGGGGACCCAGCGCTGGGGTGGGACAGCTGGAGGAGGCTTTCACTGGGGCTCAGCCCGTCAGCCGGGGCCCCCGCCCCAGTCCCTGCCCCTCTGCGCCTGAGCACTCACAATGCCATGGATTTACTGGCCTGCACAGGCTGCTCTCTGAGCTGCTGCCTTTTATTTTATGACTGAATTAACGTTATATACACAAGAGCACGGTTAAGATACCCACTGGAGGAAAGCAGAAAGGGATAAATTTCACAGGCGTGCGCCCAGACCATTAACGCGCACCCATATGTCTCCCTGCTGACCTCTATCACGGCTGCAATGCTCAGGAAGCCCCGCCTACCTGCTCGGGTTTACGGCGCACTAATTTGCCATGTCCCGGATATTTTGGGTTTCATAACTTTTATATGCAAATTAATAAAAACCCCTTTGCATTCTCACTTAAATCACTGGATAATTAAGCAGGCTGAACCCCCCCACCCCACCATGGCCCAGCCGGGAGAGCAGTGGGCACCTACCAGGAGACCAACCCAAGGCCACCGCTGTGTCCAGGAAGCTGGGGCCCTGAAACCCTGGCCCAACCTCAGGCACCACCTTGCTCCCAAGACAGCTAGGGCTGGGGCCTGCAGGCCGGAGAAGAGGAGGGACAGGCCCTGCCCGCAGCGTGGAGCCTGCAGGCTCACGGTATCTGGACACATCCGCCACTGCTGGGGCTGCGGGATCCCAGGCCCTGTCCCTGATCCTAGGCCAGGAGCCCCAGCCTGGGGCGCTCGGCCGGCCCCTCCTGCTTCTGTCACAGCCCTCCCTGTGAGGACAGCCCAGCACAGTCCTGCTCGAGGATGGGCCCGAGCCCAGGACTCTGCAGGGCTCAGAGCTGGGGCCACACAGTGCCCCACAGAGGGAGACCAGGCAGGGCCACCAGGGACAGACTGCGAATGTTGTGGAAACAGACACGGGTGCGCAGGAGGCTGTGTACAGAGCGGACACAGCAGGCCCCAGTAGCCAGCAGCCAGGCCTCTTCCTCTGCAGCTCGGTGGCACGTGACTAGGTACCCTGTGATGTTTGTACCTCGCAGTAGGGGCCAGTGTGCCCTGAGCTGCACCCCATCAAGGGCCGCAGCTGTGCTCTTACAGTTTCCCGAGGGCCCAGCACCATCCCAGGCCCACCCTGGGCCTCCCACGGCAGGCTCCAGCGCAGGATGAGAGCAGTACCCTCCACCAGGCCACTCAGCCTCTGCCTCAGGAGGACTGGGGCCTGGGGCGCAGCAGGCACTGGTCAGGCCTTTGGGCCCCCCTCCCCCAACTCCCCATGACCCATGGCCTATGACCTGTGACCTGCGACACCAGCTCCTCCTCTGTGCGAGGGACATCCAAGGCGCCGTCAACCTTCAGGGAACCCCAATCCCTGGGTGCAGAGCACAGCATCCCTTAGGAGGGCCTAGGGGTGTGCCCCATCCCCCTCCCTCAGCACCTCGGTCCCCAGCTTCTGTCCAGGGCACCCCATAGTTCACAGGGGCCGACTCAAACTTTTCCAGCTTGCTCACAAGGCTACACAGGCCTGCTAATCGAAGCATGGGTAGGAGGAGCAGGCGAGGAAAGGTCCCTCAGCTCCTGACAGACACTGAGCAGCAGCCAGGCGGATGGACGGATGGAAGTCCACCAACTAAACCCCAGGAAAGGAGAGGGGACCACACCTGCAAGCTTCCCACCAGGCCTCAGGAGAGCGGGAGCAGCCGTGTCACAGCAGCCTGGAGGGACCCTGCGTTACCGTCTCAGGAACGCCACCCTGCACACACCTGCCACCCCAGTGGCGCAGGGACCCAGTGACAGCGAGCTGGACTCTGACTCGGAAGCACCAGTCCTGAGCTCTGTGAAGACTTGCATATTTTGCTTTTATTTTCCTTTTTATGTATGCAGAAGAGTGGGCTGTGATAAAATCCTGTGATTAAGTGAGTCCGGCGGAGCTCTTTGATGAATGTAAAGTAGGGCTCTGCGTGACCAAGCACTGTGTCACCGCTCACAGGGAGCATTTTCTCTTTCTTACAGGCGCATAAAGCAGCAGGCGCCTCACAATCAATGGCATTTAACAAAATGACCAAAAAGGACAACACACGGTCCAGCACGGCTCCCCAAGCCCAGAACCCAAGGACCCAGGGGCCAGAGCACGCAGGGATGGTCCCGGTGTACAGAGCAGAGGGCCATGGCGAGCGGACACTGATTCATGACGGCGAAACTCACAGTGCTACAGGTGGAAGAGGACACCCTGCCTCAGAGAATCCACCTCCCTCGGACATCAGCCACAAACACCGCGAGGTCCAGAGTGGTCGAGGGGGCCCTGGTCACCCTCCGATGATGAGTCCTGAGAGCCCAGTGAGAGCCACGAACCCAGAGACTGAAGCAGGAATCTGGGTGGGGAAAGAAGGGGTGACTGTCACTGCACAATGCCACGACTGTGACAGGGAAGCCCCAGGACACTCCCAAGAGGAAGCCGCCAGTTGGTCCTGCTCCTCTGCACCACTGTGAGCAGCCAGGAACCAGGACCAAGGCGCAGCAGGAGCCTCCGAGACGCGGGATCCTCCACCACCCCAGGGGCCACGCCCACGGGGAAGGCTTGGGGCGCAACACAGAGTCTCTGAATCTGCCTTCGGATTGGCACCTCTGGACCCCTTTAGGAAACCACATGGCTCCTTGCTGAGCAGCTGGGGATGAACGGAAGGGACGCAACATAGAGGTCAGCCGTGCCCACCAGACACAGGCAAATGACACAGCGCAGCAATCCAGCCACAGTGCCCCAAAAGGGCCACGCAGACTGCGAACTAAGTCGAAGGTGCCCAAAGTTGAGGGGCACCCGGCAGGGAAAGCAGCTGGTTATGAGCAGAAAGGTCACGTTAGACCCTGCTGACACCATCTAGATCACTGGCCCTGGGGTAGACACAGGACAGAGCTTGGATTCTGGGCCCGGTAAACTCCCCCACACCCACAGAGTAGACCGAGGGGTAGGGCCTGGGGCTTTGGCATCACAGCTGCACCCCTTCCGTGTGCGTGACCAACAGAGCCCAGGGGACACACAGACTCACCATGGGAGACTAGGGCCCTGGCCAGGGGCTTCCTGGGTCCTAATGTGTCAACAGGGCCACTCTGTGGGTCTTGAACCTGGTGGGAGCCAGCAGGGCAGGCTGGGACCACTGGCTGCAACGTAGAGCCCTCAGAATCAGGCTCTCAAGGGACCCCAGGCCTCCCCCACCCTAGCACAGCCCCAGACAGGTTCTCTGAGAGAAGCAACCCCCTTCAGACTAAGGTTTATTGGGAATTAATATTCATGAGGCTCTTGGAGGAATGGCTGTGGGTTTAATAAATATTAACGCAGGACGGCCCCCTCCCACACCCCTTTAATTCTTCATTTGCAGCATGCATTATTCACTCCCTCGTGGGCACTGCCCCGGCACTGACCACCCACTCAGTCCACACACACCCTCCTCAAGATGCCCCTTTGGCCTGACGCGATTTCCCCTCCCTGGGCGCTCCCAGCTGTGAGTGGAGCTTGGGCGCCTCCAAGTGGCCAGTATGGGTATGACCTCAGCTGCCCCAAGGTGGAAGACAAGTATCTCCTGGCCTTGCTCCTGCCTGACTCCTCAGCCAGAAATGCCTTGCAGAGTTTGGGGTGCCGCACACACCCTGCTCCCCTGCTCAGATGCACCTGTGAGGCCCCTGCTGACTGGAGGTGTCAGGCTCCTGTGATGCCTCCCAGGCAGGACCCAGGACTTCCTGAACTTCACAACCTCCATCTCCCCACAAATGCCCAAGGGAAGAGTGAGGAGAAATGAGCTGTCTTCACATCTCTGCTCCCCACGGGCCTCCCACCCCCCACTCAGGGACCCAGGTCCCGAGATACCAGCTGTACCCAGGACTCAGCACCCTGCTGCCGCCCCAGCCACAGCATCCCTAGGCCAGGCTCCCAAGCAGAGGGCAATGGGGCAGGACTGCAGACTAGGGGGTCTCCTGGAGGTGCAGATCCTCAGGCAGGGCAGCGCTGGGGAGTGAGGAGGCCTGAGGTCCCCCTTCCTGGACCCCACCCTCAACCATCCCCTAGAAGAAGCAGACAAGTCGAGGAGACAGAGCAGGTCCCTGACCCCATGGGCTTACCAGAGACACTTGGAGAGGCCCCAGGGGTCCCCTGCTCCTCACCTGCCCTCCCCAGTCATAGCCAGGACCCCAGCACCTGCTTCACCCCTTAGGGCTGCGCAGTTCACACCCTGAGCCGCCTCCCACCCACATGCTGCCTACACAGCGCCCGGCTAGTCACATGGATCCTGCAGGGCACAGTCCACGCCCGGCCTCACCTGAGTAACACCCTCCTGCTTCCTCCCCATCCAGCGGGTCAGGGAGCCACTTAGGGTCGGTAGAGGCTCAAGCATGGCATATGTCAACTGACGGCTTCTGGCCAGGTCCTCATAGAACCCGGCCTCGCCGGGGCAGGTGTTGCCCACTAGGCCAGGGTAACTCATGGATGGCACAGGACCAAACCTGGCCCATCAATTTCCCAGGCCCAGGAAAACTTGGAAGGAGACCTGAGCAGCGGGTGACTCGACATGGAGGCCTGCTATGGGAACCGGGCCCGGCCATACCCATCCCTCCCCACCCTCTGTGCTCCCTGGCCAGTGCCGTGCCTGCTGCCCCTCCTCAGGCCCCTGCTGGTGTCCCCACAGCCTGTGACCCACAGCCTCCCAGAGGTCCCAGAGGGACACAGCAGAGAAGCCTCCTGGTGCCACCCCGAGCTCCCAAGCCTGCAGGATGCCAGGGCTCTGCCAGCCTTGGCTGAGAGAGAACAGCCCTTGCTGAGTGAGCGAGTGACAGTGAGTTAGCTGGCCCCAGCCAGGGTGTGTCCTGCTCTGACGATGTCCACGAGACCGCCCCACACACACAGGTCAGTGGTGTGACTTTGGAGACTGGACTTGTTCTGCCCAGGCCCCAGGGGACACTCTGCTTACTCAGGCGACGAACAGCACTGACCTGTGAGGCACCCCAAGGTGCCCAGGGCCCTCCCAGGATGCCCTCAACACCCTGTAGATTGGGACACATGCCACTGGGCAGCACCTGGCCTTGGAGCTACCAAATTTACAACCTCTGCCCCTGTGGGATGTGGGGACTAAGCCCAAGGTGGCCCTGTAATGACCAAAGAGCACCTTCCAAGCAGCACCAGCCATCACTATGGGACAGTGGTCTCAGAGTAGGAGGCCACCCTGCTGGAGTGTGGCACACACAGGGTCCCTGGGCATGTTGCTTCTTATTCTCTGGACTTCTCTTTGCTGGCAAAAGAAGCCAGGATGTTGCTTTTGTTTTCTACAATCACTAAGGAGCAAACTCCCACACAATCTTGCAGGAAATTAAATTAGAAACAAGATATGAGGCTTGCAGAGACCTTGACGGAGGGAAGTCCCCAGCAGGGCCACGCTGACACATCCGCTGAGACCATATCACAGTTATTAACCTTTGGCTCCAAAACATGGAGAAGACCACTAGAAAGGCAGGAAGGCGTCCCTGAGCCGAGGCACAGCGGGAGCCTTCAACACACCTTGTCGGCGCCTGCCAGATCAAAGCGGGTATGGAAGGGTAACAGCCACACAAACACCAGGCATGCAGGACTCAGTGTGCCACAAAGAAAGAAAGCACCTGCCTTCAGACACCAAGCAAGCAAACAGGCAAAGAGCACCTGCGAGAAGCCCAGGGACCGAGAGCTTCCTGGAGGGTGGACTGTGCCGTGAGTCTCAGCACTAACAATGGACAGTGCTTTTCAAGTCCTAACCTCCACCCGGCCTGCCCCACACGGCAAGGGTGCAGCACGGAGGGGCTACTCGGCCCCTCGGGCCCGGGGCGGGTTGAGTGTGCTTCCAAATCTGTCGCCTGAGCTCCTCCGCCATCCTCTGACCCTTAACCCGCGCAGGACACTGAGCCCAGCGCGCAGGCAGCACTCAGGAAATGTGAGGCCCTCCAGACAGCTGTGCCTCAGGGAAACACTGCCGGCCACAGGTTTTCATTCACTTCCTAACGAGGGCACTGGGCGACAAAAATCACGGGCAATAGCCCAAGTGGCGCCAGAGGACAGCGTTACTCTTAAGTAATTCCGGAAGAAAGGAAGGGTGAAGCTGTGCTTTCCTTTAGGAAGCTGACTCAGAAGAATTTCTCCGGAGCTTGAGCTAGACCTGAGCTCTTTTCCGTTCCACTCCTCTCAGCAGTACCCCTGGTTACTGTGTTTTCTGGGTCCTTACAGGAAACAGCTTTACTTCTAAACTTCTTAGAGTTTCTTTTACAAGTCACATTGTCACTGAACATGGTCTCTTAGAAGTAATGCAGTGGCTAAACAAAGTAACACTGTCACTTCTGAAAGATCAGGAACAGGCTTTCCACAGGGGCCTCAGCTCTCAGCCTCCAGCCTGGGTTTCTGCCTGTCCTGCACCCCTCAAACAGGGACATCAGAGATCTCACCAGCATCTGAAACTCTCAGCTTCCTGTTGCATCACAGGAAAGTCCCTAGACACCTCCGGAGCTGGAGGCGCTGACCACGGCACCACCCACCCTGCCGCCTCCATCAGCACAACCCGGTCATGCTCTCCCACCAGTTCCCCCTCTGGCGCTCTGCCCTCCCCAGTCCACCTTGAAGATCACCAGCTGAGTCAAGCCACTACACGCCTTGGGACTATTTCCTCTTTCAAAGTGGAGTTTGCATGCAGCAGCCTCAGGGAGTGGAGAGCCTGAGCACGGGGATGCTCGCCACAGGGGCCACATACCTGCAGCCTCAGAGGAGAGTCGTCCGGGAACAGGAGGTGACCCGGGGCTGATGGGGCTTTGGCCTGGCGTGTCCTCTTTGGGGTGAGACATCTGTTGCTCCACGGAATAGTTTGAGGTTTGTTCGTGGGGCTGTGGGCATCTGTGGTTAATGCTTTTACAAATGGTGGGATTGGTCTTTTAAGAGGACCCAACAAGCCTCATGGCACAGAGACTTCGAGCTCGCCGCCAGCACTTACAAGGCAATACTTTGGCACCGTGTGCAGCACGCACTTGTGATCACGGCTTCGTGGGAAACTGAGGCAAGAGGATCACAAGTTCAAATCCAGCCGGGGCAACTCAGTGCTTGAGGACATCCTGTCTCAAAATTTAAAAAATAAAAAAGGCTGAGAGTGTAGCTCAATGTGAAGGTCCTGGGCTTAACCCCCGTCTCTCACACACACACACACACACACACACACACACACACACACACACACAGCTCTTTAATGGGTATCTTTTTTTCTCCCTTACCTTTTATTTCCATTCCAACAGAATTTTGTACTTTGTGCTGGAAAATCGTTCACCCTCACTATACATCCCTGCAACTAACACCCCCAGCGCTGGTGTCCCAGGGCTCTGGTGTGGAAATTCACCCACCTGTGTGCAGTGTCAGGAGGCAGAAACTCGGACAGCAGAGGTAGAGGTGGCGCCTCCCGCCATGAACACCAACCGGGTGGAGATCAGTGGTGCAGCGCAGAGGCAGAGCAGGGCTGGGCAGGGGGACGAGAAAGACAGACAGAGACAGAGACAGAGAGACAGGGACAGGAGAATGAGATCAGCAGTATCAGGCATGTGGGCTGAAATGTCACTTTTTATTCTTTGTTCCCGAAGCTCTTCACTGTCTTTCCAATCTTCTGCTGGCTTCACTTATTTTGACAACTATTAGCTCACAGCTAATAGCAGCATGGACCCAGGCCCAAGTCACTGGCACTGCCGATACAGCAGCAGGGTTGGGGGCTGCCGCTCAGGCCCGGCCCCTGGGGCTCCCAGGTGCCCACAGTGCCTGGCAGCCGCCCTGCTCTGGCCCCAGAGATGCAGCGCTCAGCAGCTCTGCACGTAAACAAGCACATGGGACAAAAGAGGCTTTGTCATCGCTCGACAGCGCACAGAGACTCCCTATCAGCTGCAGTCAGGTCCCTGCCCGCACCAGGACTGCAGCACCCACTCGGGCCACCGCCCTGCTGGGAATCCTGGTGGGAATCCGGTTGCCCGGGCAGGGAGGTGTAGACCGCAGCCAGGTCTGGAGCCCTAGTGGGGACCACAGAAGGTCAGGGAAGGCGCCGGCGCCTCACACCACCAGAGGGCGCCCCCGCCCCACACGTCCTCGGCCAGGCGGCAGCAGCCCCGCCCGTCTGGGGCCCAGATCTGTCCTCCTCCCCCGTCATCGTCCTGCCGCTGCCATTGCCATCCCTGTGCCAACCCATCGCCCATCCCCTACCCTGGACTTCCAGGCCCCAGCCCTGGTCCCCAGATCCTCCTCACGCGGCTGAGAGGCCCTGTGACCTGCGCCGATCCCCTGTCCACACTCATGGACACAAAGGCCACAACCCAACCACAGCCTGGCAGGCAGGCGGACCACACAAGGGGCTCCGTGGTCCCACGCCAGTGCGACCCCCAGGCCCCTTTGTGCAGCAGGGCTGAATCCCAAGCTGAGCCTCCAGCCAGCTTGCAGCCTCCCTGAGATCAGGCTCAGCCCCGCCCCACGGGCCTCTCTGCCCTCCGCTTTCTCTTAGGATCCTTCTGTTTCTTTTGCAGTTTTACTTTTTCTAGTACTGGGGATCAAACCCAGGGCCTTCACACTGAGCCCCGTTCCTCGTCCTTATTTTTTACTCTGGGACAAGATCTCACTAAGCTGCCCAGGCTGGGCTCCAACTTTCAATGCTCCTGCCTCAGCCTCCCAGAGTATTAGGGTTACTGTGCGCCCCACCTCACTCAGCCATTTCTACATTTTTAATTTTAAATGCCTTTGCTGTGATTTCTAACTGCTTTTCCAGTTACTTCTGTTTCCCGTAGCCCCACCTTCTTTCCAAACCTTCTAGTTCTGGTGTACGCTGCTGTTCTGTCTGGGGTGTCACAGTTGTTCCAGAACAAGTCTGGCCCGGTATGCATGGGAACTTGAGGCCGGAGAACCAGGACCACACGGGGTGCGTTTCTGGGGTCCTCAGTGACCAAAGCATGGTCCTGGTGGCATCGGCAGGCTCAGATCCTGGTAGTTTGGGCCTGACAGAGGGCGCGTCCCCAGGCCGGGACAGAGGTGACCTCATGCTGGCCTCTCAGGGGACCTCGAAGGGACAGGAACATCCAGAGAGGGAGCCCTGGTGCAGCTAATGGCTTTGCCTGCTGCTGGCTTCCCGCAAGACTGCAGGAAAAGCCAGCCGGGCTCTCTCGGGGGTCACAGTGGCGAAGGCTGTGGCCAGCTTTGGGCCTGTCAGGCCAGATCCAGACTTGTGTCCTGCAGTCTTTAGCGCGTTTGAAACCTTCGGCTTTGTTTCTGCTGCCACTGGCTCCAATGTCCGCTGCTGTGACCCACAGTGGGACAGCCCCAGGGCCGAGCTGCCTTCCTGTGTAGGCTGCAGCAGCCAGGAAATGGCTCACATGGGGGCCAGCACCACACAAAGTCTGTGGGCAGCCCCAGGAGGAGCCACAGTGGAGGAGACGGCATGAGGGTCAGGCCCTGGGACCCATCCCAACGCCATGTCCTATAGCCACGAGAGGGGCCACCCTCTCAGAATACACCACCTCACAGAAGCCGCACAGGATCACTGGTCACTGTCAGAAGCCACCAGATGGGGCGACTGTCATATGCAGTGCGCCTGTGGGGGCACCTCGAGGTGGCAATGAGTCATCTGTCCTGCACCAGCCCTGACAGCAGCTTCCATGTGAAGCCAGCATCCTGCGGCACAGCCCAGACCAAGGCGGGGAGCTCTGTGCCCCGGCGGTGCCTTCCTGGCCTCAGCCCAGGCTCCCTGCTGCCCTTCTCACCCAGGCTCACTGCAGTGAACCCCGAGACACCATCCTGAGCCTGAGGCCAGCACTCAGGCCTCCTGGAGCCTGCGTGGCCAGGGCTGGGGGTGAGCCTGTGTGGGGCCTGGGGTTTGGGCCGAGGCACCAGCTCCCTGACATCTTTCCGGCCATCTGCCTGTGCCTGAGGGGGCTCCATGTCTCCTGGGTAGGTGCGGCCACATCTTCCACAAGGTCATCACACTTTAGGACACTTGTCACACTCGGCCTGTGAACTAAGACAACTGCTACTTTCCGAGGAGGGGCGGATCCTGCCATCCAGCACCGTGAAGCCAGCAACAGCTGCGGCCATTAGAAGGGGGACACAGCAAACCCAGCCTAGGCCACAGGCGTGAGGGGCCGTCCTAAGGAAGCCGCACTCCACGTGACAGCAGCCCTGGGGCCCTGGGGACCCTATGTGACGTGGAGGTCACAGGGGCTGAACAGCGGGGAGCCACACCAGTGGTGGACACACCACAGCACATATGACACACAGGGACCCTGGCGCACACAGTGGGCTCCAACAGTGCTGTCATCAGTATGGGATCATTCACGGTGACAGGGGTGCCTCTGTGGAGAGCAGCCATGGGACCTGGACAGGGTGGGTGGGGACATGAAACTGCTCCACACAGTCTGTCCAGTAGACAGCACGGCCAAGTGCATGGCTCCCTTCCATGTGCGTGCATGGACGCGGTCAGGACGGAGCGGAAATCACAGGGTGAGCAGCAGGGAGGGCGCCCGAACCTCCCAGAGCCACCGCTAGGGGCCAAAGGCAGCCCGGCCTCAGGTCCAGGCAGGAGCAGATGCCCGGCCGAAGGAAGGCCTGTGCTGGCTTCCGCCTCCCTGCACTCCGAGTTATCACCCAGGCCAGCCCTAGGGTCAGACACCACAGACCTCGGCCCCTGTCCTCCGGTCCCTGCACAGATGTCCTCCTCTGTCCTTTCTCCTTACTTCCTGATTCTACCCATGAAAAGCCCGAGAGGCTTCCTTCGAGGCTGTCTTCACGGGACTTGCGCTGCGGGGCTTCAGCGAGAACAGCCCACCTCAGCCTCCTGGGGGTGTGAACGTGGACTGCGAGTGGCCTCTCACCCTTTTGCTCGGTGCGATGGTCAAGAACTGTGACAACAGACCAGGAGCATGGGCCGACCAAGCTTTCTAGATGGGTAAGAGATAGAACTCTAGACCTCAAAGTGTTTGAATTCTCACTGAAATTAAAACTTTAGAGATCAGCTTTTGTCCCCAGGATAACTGCTGTCAAAGCCAAAGACAGACATCAGTGAGCACACAGGGAGCCCAGGCCCAGACTCCACAGCGGGGAGGTTGGATGCAGCAGCCCAGATGGAGGCAGTGTCCACAGATGCTGGACGGCGCTGCCCAAGGAGACGTGGACAGACACGCCCAGCTCCTGGCAGCACTACTCATAGCAGCCCGAGTGTGGGATGGGTGGGTGAGGGGCGAGCAGTCCATCCTCAGTGGCCGTGACTTGGCCAGCAGGGACTCCAAGGATGTGGGCTGGGTGGGAACCCAGTGTCACCGATGGACACGGTGGTGACCTTCTGAGTGCTGGGCAGGGGCTCCTGTGCAGTGTGTCAGGGCTGCAGGTGGGGAGGACGAGAGCCCAGGGTGTGGCTGCCTGAGGTGCTGGGACTTAGCACGGGCCTGAGCTGCACACACACTGTGACCTGGGGAGGCCGCCATGCTGCCCACAGCAGAGCCAGGAGATCTGCCCCAGCGCAGGAGCCAGGGGTTGGGACAGGAAGCGAGGAGAAAGGAGAACACACAGCTGGCTTCCCGGAAAGGGGAGGAGCGGGTTGGGACCTCCCAGCACTGAGCAGAGTCTGGAAATCCTTGGCTCCACAAAGGAGACCCACGCCAGGATCTGCAGAACACACAGGGCTGTGCGGAGCATGCGCTGTCCCCTGGTGGTAACAGCTAGCACAGAGGCCCAGGGCGGCAGCCGAGGGGTCCCCAGCAAGGGCTCAGCCTGCCCTCCACAAGGGAGACACCTATGCAGGGCTCGGAGGAACAGCCTTGAGAAAGGGGACAACAGGCAGCTGGGGCACAACTGGAAATCCAGCATCCTGGAGGCTGAGGCAGAAACATCGCCAGCCCGGGCACCTTAGTAACTTAGAGACCAGCCTCAGAATTTAAAACCCAGGGATGCAGCTTTGCTCAATCCTGGGCTCAATCCTGGCACTGAAAAGAATGAAAGAAAGAGGGAAAGGGAAGGAGAGAGGAGGAGGCAGCGATGGAGGGGGACCGAGTAGAGGAGACCTGGACCCACGCAGACCCCGGGAGCAGAGGCCAGCAGCTCCAGCTCGAGGGTGAGCATGGGCAGCCTCCCAGGAGGGACGGGGCGCCCTGCCTTTGGGGTGCAGCGTGGGCCGAGGCCACGCAGAGCAGAAGTAGCACAGAGCCCTTCTGTGCACTCGCCCTGGGTACGGGAGCCACTCTGCCCCGAGGGCCGTGTTTGGGGCCTCAAGGCCTCTCTCCAACCTTCGGAATTCCCCTGCCCACCTTTCTCTGAAAGAACAGAATTCCCCTTCCAAAGGTAGATCCCTAAACGTCCTTCCCCCTAAACCAGTCACGAACCCTCAATGGCCCTCAGCTCTCCTCCACCCCTGTGTGGGGCAGCCACAAAGAAATCTGACCTACATTGCCTGCTCCAGAGGGATCCCACCCACTGCAACAGGGAGGAGTCTAAGCAGAGGCCTTGCTGGACCCTCAGATCATACCATTTGTGCAGTCATCATTCCGAACAACTGTCCATGCCTCACAGAACCTAGGCTGAGTGTGGCCAGTCCATCTGGGCCTCTGAGTCTTTAATCTGAAGGTTCCTTGTCACCTGGAACTATGATCACATACATTTGCTGTGCTTTTCCTGGTCACAGGTATCATGATAGGCAGGAAAAGGTCAGCCCCTTTCTGTCCCGATGTCTGGTGCCAACATGGCCACGTGTGGACAGGGTATTCCATGGGAGAAGGCATCGGCATGGGGCCCTTGCCCACTGGGACCTCGGCCTCATGAGGAGGAGAAGGGGCACAGGCCTCAAAACTGGGGGTGGAGGGTGCTGAGACTCTCACAGCCACAGCCCCAAGGAGAGCTGCCACACTAGGGCAGGACATGGGGAGCCTGCTGTGGTGCAAGCCACACACAGGCGCGTGCAGTGCACACCTGCTCAGGCCAATCCTAAGCCCCAGGAAGAGGCGGGATGCGAGAGCCCCTGCGGCCAGTGGGAGCTGCTGCTCTCCCGGAGCGGAACGGAAAACAGAGACGAGCACTGAAGAGGCACAGAGTGCACAGGCGCCCTGAGGCTGCTCCCGTGGGCACAGGACTCAGCTACCGGGTAAATAGAGGCAGGCGGCGGCATCAGGTTTGGGCTCCAGGTGACCAAGGGCGGGTTGGACCAGAGGCAGAGATGGACACCGACCGGACACAGATGGTCACACGCGTGCATCTGTGTGTGTAGCGAGGTCTCACTGGTGCATGAGCAGGCCGCAGTCCCAGCCCACCTCCTGTTGTGGTCGCAGGAGGCCCAAGGCCGAGCGCTTTACACAGAAAAGACACTGACTTTGCTCAGGGTCCTGGAGGCTGGATGTCTACGCTTGGTCAGCCCTGGGCAGCAGGCGCACAGCTCACGGTGTGGGCTGGTGCTGCATCACAACTTGGTGGAGAAGCGGGGACCTCAACAGGGCACGCTGTGGGGGGCCGGCCCTGCTTCCCGGCACCTTGTTCTCCTGACAGTGGACAGGGGTCCTGGAGAGCCACACTAATCCCTGTGCGACGCTATAAGGAAAGGCCCCAGGCAAACAGCTTAATGGGAGGAAAGACACCATCCAGACCACTGTATGCGTGCACACTCGTTCTGCCGGTAGACAATCAGCAGCCCCGCAGTGCCCGGCGCCCAGGCCCAGAGCTGCACGGGACCCCAGGGACCTGGAGATGCAGCGCTGGTCTGGGGCAGGAAGCCCCCAGCGGAACTCCCCACGTCAAGACCTCTGGGTCAGTAGAATCCTGGGGGCCACGTGGGGCGTTGGAGGAGTCCTGGGACAGGAAGGACAGGAAATGTGAGGGTGGAAACCTGAGTGAAGAAATGAAGAAAGAGCATTAGCTGATGGCAACGCTGCCCGGAGTCACTTAGCAGATGACAGCAGGGGACACGGAAAGGGCCGGGAGGGACCTGGGTCCTGGAGTGCTGATTTGCACCTTCTGTGTGCATCTCCCACTGCTCTCAGGGGAACACAGCAGCTTTCAGAGCTCCTCCCCTCAGACCTAGGACAGGAAGGGGTCCCGGAAGGACCACAGAGCAGGGGAGGACAGAGGGCCCGAGCCCCAGGAGCTGTCCAGCCACCAGCGAGGGGAGCAAGGCCACAGGCAGCTGTGGAGGACAGAGGCCAGCACATACGCCAGTCGTGGGTCTGCACTCGCCCGGAGGGAATGGGCTTTCTCTTCCCTTGTGGTGCACTGTCTGGTGTCAAACTCCAGCTCTGTTCTAGCCTCATAAAATGATCTGGCCAACATTCATGTGCTTGTTTTGCTTCCTGTTTTTTAGATAATTTGTATGAGAAAGGAACTAACTGTTCTTTCAGTTTGGTAGACACAGTAAAACCATCTTTGGGGCTAGAATGCCGTTTGGAGGGTTGGTTTGATTTTTGGAGAGGCATCAGCTTAATACTTCTGACGCACGTGAGGTCTCCCTGTCCTGTAACGAAACAAAGCTTGTGCTGCCTGGTCTGCAGCTCCCAGGCTGAGACAGCACCCAGTGATACGGAGGAGACGGACACAGAGCCTGGGTGTGTTTCTGGGATCAGTCACAGGGCCCAGCTGTGACTTCGTCTCAAGGTCTGTTATGTTTGTGTCTGGACGTCCCCCCAAAGCCTCATGCAGTCATGGGGGCAGGCTTCTAGCACCTGTGATTGATTCACGGTCCAATGCTGGGATTATGGTGTTACACCCGGTAACGTGGGTGGTGCTGGCTAAATACAATATAAGAGACAGAGTCTTCTCTCTCTGCTTCTCCCTTTTGCTCTTACTGCTTTTGCTGTCCTCTGCCATGAGCCGCTTTACCTTGGAGCCAGCTGATTTTGGACTGAAAGGTCCACAAACTGTGAGCTAAATAAACCTTTTCCTCTTTATTTTGGGTCTTGGGTATTTTGTCTCAGCAACCAGAGAAAAGTAACCATCATCTTCACCTGTACACACCCGCAGATTGGTTCCCCCCTAACAGCCTCTGCAGCCAGTCTGGGTGTTTGGTATCTCTTTTCAAGAAGTGCACTTCATCCAGGCTTTCCGGTTTGTGTATGAAGGAAACGTGTTGTTCACAGCGCTCCTCCTAGCTTTAATCTGCTTATTTATACTCTGCTGCTGCCCAAGCTCTCTGTGTCCAGGCAGCTGGCCAGCTAGCGAAGCCCTCGGAAAGCAGGGAAACAGAGGCACTGAACTGCAAAGAAAACCTCCACTGGGCACAGGCACAGAGTAAGAAGGGAAATCTATCACCGTAACAAGCTGCCCCAGACAGGAGGCGGGGCAGAACATGCAATCAGTGCCGACATTTTAAAAAGTTTGTTAGAGTGAAACATCTTTGCCGTAGCTTCCCCTCCGACGGCTCCCATGCCTTGTACGCCTTGCACACACCATCCCATCCTCCCTGCTTTTGGAAACAGCTCTGGAGTCCTCTCTCCCAAGTGTTTACGAGGCGTGATCAGAGGTCAGCAAGACTGGAGATTCAGCTGAGCCGTGTAAGTGCCTGCCTAGCAAGCATGAGGTCGTGAGTTCGATCCCTGCTACCCAAAAAAAAAAAAAAAAAAGAAGTACAGCAAATGTGATCGCCCTGTGCCGTCCACTGGGAAGTCAGGCCGTGGGAACGCGACACCGTGCCCTGGTGCGGCTCATTCACTGGGCCTGGCCCTGTGCGGCTTCCTTCCCTCTCCAAAGTCAGTGTAACCATGAAGTTAAGGCCGTTAGCACATTCAGGACCTAAAGCAGCCACAATAGCACAACTAAAGACCCTCATGAAGGAGCCAGCGGCTTCCCAAAGTAGGATCCGTGTCTCAGGGCGGGCAGAGAACCCCAGGGCACTATGGCAATGGTCTCTTATTGTCATAGTTTTTGAAAATTTAAACATTCACCATATTTCCAGGTCATGCCCCATCTGTGACCACCAGTGAACCTCCAGGCCACTACAGTGGCAAAGCATCGACAAGAACACAGCCTATGGCAGCACACACCTGCCACCCCAGCACTCGGGGGGCTGAGGCAGGAGCTTTGCTGTGAGGTCAAGGCCATCCTAAACTACACGATGAGACCCTGTCTAAAAAACGAAACAACCCGAAGAAAGAAAACTTCCTCAGGGTGTGACGGCAGCTTTCGTCTGAATCAGAGTGGGACTTAGCTGAAGCTGAGGAGGCCAGCTCTGAATGCCTGCCTGCCCCTGACCTGCGTTCCTAGCCGAGGGACACCCAGCCTGGGCTGGAGCTGGCTAGAGACGGTGGAGATGGATGCAGGTTGCCTGTCCAGTTCCAAAGTGCCAGAATCATCCGGGAGGGGTCCAGCGCCTCGCACTCTGCACTGTGCCCGCCTTTGGGACTGAGCTCACCAGGCCTGGCAGCAAGCGCTGGCCAAGGCCGAGGCCACTTGACACCCTGTCCTTTCTCCTGACAGCCCCCCGGCCCCAGGGTTCTAGGGGACAGGTGCCTGTGGCCTTGGGTACCCGAGCAGACGCTTACCGGGTGTGCTCAGGCCTGCAGGCTGCTGGGCAGGGCACACCGAGGGCCAGGGCTTCTCCTGGGCACCCTGAAGAATGCAGCTGTGCCCTGCGGTGGGCAGGGGTCTGGCCGCCCTGGCCTCCACCTGGATGGGACTCCTCTTTCGCTGCCCGGTTATTTACTGCCATGTTTACATCTGTCAGACCTGCAGCTCCCACCAGCTCCTTTTTTACTGTTTTTCCCTTCTTTATCCACCTAGACTCCCCACGTCAACTTTCACACTTAGTCTGAATTCTTGTTCAGCTCTCATGTCCAGGCCTGAGACTCGGGCACTGCCACAGGGGAGCACTTGAGGAGGGTGTGTGCCCCTGGGCACGGACCCCAGGCTCCATCCCGGAACTGAGTTCCAGCTAGGAACCTCCCCAGCCCTCCCCTTGAAGCCTGGACTTGGAGCAGAGCGGGCCGCGTAGGCCCTGCTGCGGGCCCTGGTGATCCCCTGCAGGAGCAGGAAGAGGGGACTGCTGCCTTTCTCCGCTCTCACTGCCAGGCAAACGGCCCCAGATTGCCCTGCTTCCCACCGGGATCTTGTTTGGTTTTGCATGTTTGTTTCCTAAATTTGTCCTTATCTCCTCTCAGGCTCCTGCAGACATCCTGGCTGGCCAGGGTCGGGGAGGCTGTGGCCGCCGAAACTTGCTCCCACTCCTCTGCCACAGCAAAACTGCCACATCTCAAGAACCCCAGAGACCAGGACCACAGGCACCCGCCGCTGGGCAAAGGGGCTCCTGAGACCAACCCGGACAGGTAGAGCCACTGCCGCCATTACCACACACACACACACAGGCTCCCACAGCCTTCTAGGCCTTTGGCACTTTCCAAGTCCCCAGGCGAAGGGAGGTCCCAGGGTGGGGACCTGTGGCCTCAGGAAGGCCAAGGCACTCACCTGAGTAAATGCTAAAATAGTAGAGTCACAGTGCCAGAGGCGTCCTCGGCTCCATGCCTGCCGGGTACAAGCCCTGCTGGGCTGCCACTCCGCCCCAGATTCCCCCGTGTCGGGGCACTGCTACCTGCCCAGAATGGCCTGGCCTGGGCAGCTGGGTGGATGGAGGCAGCGGCAGGGAGCTGGTGTCTCCTCAGGAGCAGCTCCCCCATGCTGGTTTGCCGGGGCCAGCGCCTGAGGCCAGCACATTCCCCGTAGGGGGTCAGAGCTGAAAACAGCCACCAAGCACACGGAGTCACTGCCTAAAAATGCAGAAAATGTGGACAAACCCAGCACGCACTGAGTCACCGTCAATGGCGCCCGCAGGCACCGCCTGGGAACAGTGGCCTCTGTGCCTCGCCGCCCTGCGCACAGCAGCATAGCAGCGCACACAGCCCGCCGCCCTGGCCAACGCTGCAGCCTGAACAGGCCCTGGCGCCAGCTGGCAGCGGCCGTATAGCCTCGTGTTGGGGCGCAGTACCAGCTGTTTCCCCACAAGCCATCTACTGTGGAAATCCAGCTCCCTGCGACTTTCCGTAAACCTCGCTCTCTTGAACCCCTAACCCACTCCTGGAAAGGGCGGCTTCCTTTCCTGCCAGCACCAGCGCAGGTGGCCAAGTCACTGCTGAGGGCCCCTCGCCTTGTGTTAATTTGTTTAGTTTTGTTTTTACAGTGCCAGAAATTGGACTCGGGGTGCTTTGCCCCTGAGTCACCTACTTTTGTTTTGTTTTGTTTTGCTTTTGCTTTTGCTTTTTGAGACAGCTCTCACTGAGTTGTTCAAGCTGAGCTCAGTCTCACAACCCTCCTGCCTCAGCCTCTTGAATAGCTGAGATAACAGACGTACACCACCACATTCTGCAAAGTTAGACATTTCTGAGGATTTTTTTTTCTTTGTTGGAACATTCCTGAGATTACAAATGACCTCCTGGCTCCTGGTCTACCCTGCAGTCATTTAGGTAAACATTTTATTTCTACTGAAGTTGAATGTTTTCACTGGAGAGTAGGATTAGCAAGGGTTAAGCCCACATGTTACCATTGCCTGAAGCCCACCAGGTGTCTTAGGGTCTGAAAAACTGCGGGTGACCTGTGAGGGGGCCCCAGGATGAAAACTAGTCCCTCTTTGTGCCCTTTTTCAGGAACAGTCAGAATTAACATCACAATCATTTAAGTGGGGGTTTTAGGAGTTTCAAGTCCGGGAGCAGAAGGCCAGTGTGTCTGCAATTCACAAGAGTGGCCCAGTTCGGAGCATTTGAACCCACAGCACACATGAGAGCACCTGTGAGTCAGTGGGAAAGACAGACAACACCCAGATGACAAGAGAGAAGCCATAGAGACACTTCACCATGGATGCCCAGCAAACACGGCTGCAGGTGCCCAAGTCACTGCAACTGTGGAACTCACACGGTAGCATCACAGCCCACAGCTGGCCAGCCAGAGAGATGAAAGCTCTGGGTCCTCCGCCAGGATACAGAGCAGGAGGTTCCCGACAGCTGCCAGTGGTGGTGAGAGCCAGTCTGGCAGGGATGGGAGTGCCGGCCGGCATCTACTAACCCACAACCATCCAGCACAAATATTCATCAAGTCCAGGCTGTAGCAACGCTCATCGACAGGGCATGGTTGCCACTGTGGTCCCATAAGCCTGGGTCACCTAACAACGTCAGCTTGCTCTTAGTTTGTGTAAGCACTCTGCGATGCTCACAGGACAACAATGTCGCCTAGCAACACATCTCAGTGTGCACCTCTATGCGGAGCAACACATTCCTGTGCCAGAAGATGCATGGCCACGCAAGGCACTGGTGTGTCCATCAACTTCAGACAGAATTAGGAGGCACAGTAGGTCCCCCACATCCAGGGCCACCCTCGTGGGGCTCACAGTGAGCCCAGGAGCCAGACACAGAGATATCCTGTGTGAACCCCTTCAGAAGTTTCACAGGAGACCAATAACGCCGTTACTGCGGATTAGGGTGCTGGCTGGGGGGACCCCAGGCCCACCAGGCTGGGGCAGGGGGGAGCAGGCGCTGCTGGTCTGGGCACTGTTTGCAGGGCTGTGTGCTTCCTAGACGTGCAGTGTGCTTTCCACCCGGGCTGGGTCCCCTCCTGAGTCTCCAGTAGGCTGCGTGAGAGGTTTTCCAGTGTGGCCATCGGTTAGCTCATCTGGGAAGAAGAGAAAGGCGGCTGTGGAGAAGCCAGAACAGGGCTCATATCCACACAGGATGGAGGCTGCATGACGAGGGACTTCGCCGTCTGCCTGCCTGGGTTCCTCCGAGCCCTCTCACCTCATCAACGGAGACTTCGAGACCACAGTCTTCTGCCCGGATAAGCTCAGCAGTTCCTCTCAGTGAAATCCAACACAATGCAACTTGGTGCTCTTTCTTTCTTTCTTTCTTTCTTTTTTTTTTTTTTGTACCAGGGATCGAACTCATGACCCAGCGCTTGCAGACAGGTGCTTATGCCTCTGAGTTAAATCACCGGCCCGATGCTTTTTTCAAGTGAAGCATTATTGTGTTATTCCCTTCCGCTGTTCAACACTTTCTAGCCCTGTCTCTGGAATGAGGCTGGCATCCTCATGATGGTCATTACTTGTGGCTGGACTGGATGGAGTTGACTGCATACCTCTGGTGATTTCATGACGAGCCTTTCTCCAGATGATGAGGCTGTTTTTCTGCGTTCGGCTTGGCATCACCAGCTGGGCCAGCCGGTAGGTTCTTGCACTTTTCTGAGCCTTGGTCTCCACACCTGGAAACTGTTGAGGGTGATGTTACCAAATTTGCAGAATGTTCACGAGAATTAAACTGGATAGTGCGACAGTGCAAAGAAAGCCCCGAACACACTGCAGCTGCTCTCACAGCTGCATGTATAAATAAGCACTAAAAAGCAAGACCAGCTCTGACCCTCAGAGATCAGGTGGGGTGGAGGCACTCACTGGCCCAGGCGGCTTTGAGCCATAGTTGCCATGACCTTTGGGGCAAGAGACATCAGAGCTGTACCCAACACGGGCAGGGTGGTGGGGAGGTTGTACAGAGCTGGGAGGAAACGTGGAAGTCAAGAGGGGGCCCCTGCAGGGAGCCCCTGAAGCTCTGGAGAGCACCACAGCCCTCCTGTCAACCTGCAGGCCCCCCTGGGAGCCACAACAGGGCTGTTTCCAGAGAGCTTTGCCCCTGCACCCGGTGCCCCTGCCTCCACCCCACCCCACCCCCTTCCTGAGGAGGCAGCTGGCCATGGGAATTCTGCTTCCTGCACCATCCGAGTTCCGGAGGAGGGTGTGACTCAGTTCCCAGCTGCTCCCAGCAAGGCCTGCCCGCCCCCGCAGGCCAGGGGCTCTCCCACCCAGCAGCTCTGTCTGGGGCCTGCACTGCTCAGCCTGGGCAAGAGCACAGTTTGACCCCGCCCAGAGGTGCTGACCTCATTCCCTACGCTGCATGGTGCAGCAGAGGAAACAGTGTGGTCAGGCAGAGCAGGACACAGACGTGACCATATAACTCAGGGTGGTGCCCTGGCCAGGGAGAATTATGAGCCACGGGGAAAGGAGTCGGAAAGGCACCAGGGAGAAAGTCCAGAAAATAGCCATTTCCAGAGCGCAGGCTGCCAGGGTGGCGGCTGCAGGAACCACTGGGATGTCTCCGAGCCTCAGATGACACCGGCCCCTAGCTTAGAGGTGCCCTCAGCCAGGTGGGCCCTCCCTGACAGCAGCTGCTGCTCCTCTTCCCCAGAACCCACCCCCACACTCCGTCCCCACCCCAGGACCAGGCCACACACGGACTTGCCCCTCCACTGCCATCCCGGTGCTGGACAGGTGTCCCACTTCCTGCCTGTCGTCCCGTCCCTCCCTACAGCCCTGGATGGCAGCTGCCAAAGCAGCTCAAGGTCAGGCTCCAGCCCAGGGCCACAGGCTGAGTGCAGAGCGGGGTGGCCAGGCCAACTAGACCCAGCCTGGGCATCTCTGTACTCTGAACAGCCCATCATGTTAGGCCTGGTGGACCTGGCAATGCTCTGGACAGCAACGCTCACAGGTCTCACGCCCCACCCCGGAGTCCCCACAGCTGGGCCTGAGGCCTGGTGTCCACTGGGTCCAGCTCCTTCCAGGTCCCCTGGCTGCCCAGCTGCTACCATGTCAGCCTCACCTGCTGTGTCTGTGGGTTGAAAATGGTGAGGTGGCCCTACCCAGAGGACTAAGGAGTCTGGGACCAGAAAGGGTACCAGGCCACTCCGGGGAGACACAGAGATGGGCTCCAACTCAGTGGGGTGAGCCTCAGTCTCCTGGGCCTGGGATCCCCGTCCATAAAGAGTCAGTGCCACAGGGGCATAAGGAGTCAGGCCCACCACACGCCTGAGGGTGCCCAGCCACTGGGGCTGCATGCTCAGTGCCCACAGGCAGGGCTGGCACTGTCCTCTGCCCAGTGCACAGGATGTTCCAGGCCATGGTCAGCTGTCCTGCATGCCCCGGGTAAGGGACAGCTCCTAGGTCAGACCACACTTGGGCCTGAGGGAGAGCCCTGTGGGTTTCCCTGGAGGGTCCTGGCTGACCTGAGCCATGCTGCCCTTTGTAGAGGGTATAGCTGGCTCCTCCCCAGCCTGCTGTCCCTCCCAGTGCCACTCCCAGTCACACCTAATCCCTGACCAGCCCAGCCACATTGCCCACCCGGGCCCCTCACACTTCCCTGTTCTTGGGGTGAAACCTGCTTCTATCCTCACTGACTTCAGACCCCTACAAGTGGTCCTGTACCCACCCCTGGGCACCAGCCTGGCCACTACCATGTGGCCTATTCCAGGTCACACCTTGCTGTCCGGTCAGTTTTTACTGCCAGCCGCTGGCCTTGCTGGAGGGTTTGGCAGGCATTGACTATTAGGACCCCAGCAGCCCTGGGGGTGGACCCTGGCTCCTTCCTCAGGACACCCAGGCAGAAAGTCTCCAGCCCAACCTTGTCAGCAGCAGGTAAAGCACCTGGGTCACAAGATGGCACAATCCCCAGGGCCATTCCAGTAGCAGAGCTGACCAGGTCACACCTTCTAGGCCACGCACCAGCCTGCACCCCAGGCTACAGCCCCAGGCCCTGCACACTTCCCCTCCCCCAGGGAGCTGTGTGATGACTCAGCCCTGAGTCAGCAGCTCCGGAGGAGGCAGCTGCCATCCCTGTGCCAGCACAAGGAGCCCAGAGAGGCCCTGCCCAGGGGGCACCGGGCAGTTGGATCTGGGTTGGAGCCAAAGCTCCCACTCAATAGCTCAGGGGCTGGGGCCCTGGAGTCTTCAGGGAGCCTTCACATAAGGCTCACACACACACCTGTACACACACATGTACACGCATGCTGAAACTCACTGTCAGGAGTCAGTGGGCTGCTCAATGCCAGCTCGGGGAAGAGAAATTGAGAGTGAGGGGGGTCCCCAGCCACCCAGAGTACAGCAAGACCCACAGCTGGTTACAGACT